TAATTGAGAGTATACCTGTGTAATTCCTTTAAATCTTCTTAGTGGATTGTTTTGTGGCTGTTGCCCGTGGTTTTTTTAATCACAGTTGGAGGTATCCAATTGTGGTTTTTTCCACGTTAAAATCGTTGTGTTGATTTGTCTTGATTGTTTGATTGGGATTGTTATATTCTGCTTAAAATTGATACATAATCACAAATTAACATCTAGGGGATTTCTAGATTTTTCACTAATAACTATGTACCAAAACAAAAGAAAACACCAACACCCATTGTCATGCGTATGTGCTATCACGGTCCCAACATACCACACCAGCTGTTACCACTGAAACAAACACAACACCACTCCTCCCAACACACCAAAAACACCCCTCACGACACATCACCAACAACACCGGGAAAAAACAAAAAAAACGCAGCAACACAATCAAACTACTGACCTGTTACACTATGATAACCGTAGACCACGCCTGATGAAACAGATCAAAAAACCACCGAAAATGAACACAAACCCGTAATACCGTCACTGCCGGAATGAAAATGTCCAACACCACAGACAATAGCCCCAAACAATAGCCCCAAACAATAACTCCACAAAATAATGAGACCAATGTTAAAACAATTCAAAACAGACTCCCCCCACTATTTAGATGGGTTTCCTTATCCCCTCCGCATATCAAACAACTAATTATGGAAACACAAACAAACCAAGGACAACAATGTAAAATCATAATAAATTCAAAACCATCTAACTAACAATTATCAAAAAATTAGGACTAATTGGTGTACAAGAAAACTCTCAGGACCAAATGGTTTAATTTTTCCTCATTTAGAATTTATGAATAATTTTTCCTAGTAAAAGACCAAAAATTTTGACAAATAGATGAGTGTCACACTAAAAACTAGAATCTACAAAAATTCTCAAGATTTTTTTGTAATTTTATGTCCCATTTCTTTCTAAAAGAAATTTCTTAGAAAAAACAAATGATACAGCATGAACTTATATAATTATTGGAGACTAAATCCAAAAAGGATAATGTTATTAAATAACTTTCGTCAGATAAATTATTTATTGATTCTGAATTGAGTACGGTATCACTGACAGTTGTAGACGTCACCAAATTGGCATTACATATCATTCATGCTAATAATTGAGACAATTATTTGGTTGTCTGTCTGGACTGCATGTGAGATTCCATGTGCAATGCCACTAAACTCTAAAGAATTACAAAATATATTAAATGAATTATTTTTTTATTTATGAACTATTTAATAAAAGTGAATTAGTATTATTTTGTAATTATTTACGTTGGGTAATGCTATAACTAAAATAATATCATATTTAATCATAATTAACATCACAAGACTCCTAACCAAATTATAACTAATATCACAATACGTCATAATCAAAAATTACAAATATCATCCGTTTATGTTATGCCATTAATTAAACACTATGTGAACAATATTATATGGTATTACTGAGTAATTATTAGGACAAAGAAAAAAATTGAAAAAGTCGCAAATCAGTTTGATCGAGACCAAACCATACACCTTGATTTGATTTTTTCAATGTACTGTGTGGTCCTGATTCTTAAAATAGGGAACCATATTTCAAGATTCAACATGTGATTTTATAGTTATGATACTGGTTTGAAACCGAACCCTGTAAATAAATAAATAGTATGTTATTGTACAATAATAGAATTAGTTCTAAATAAATTTAGGGTACACTATTAATAATATTTAATAATTAAATTTAATTCCCATCAAATTCTATTGAAAATAAACTCCTTATAAAATTTTGAAAATAAATCCTTATAAAATTAAAAATATTTTTTTTTGTGATAATTAAAATAACACTACCCAAAACATAATTAAATTTCAATTTGGGAGTCATCACCGTTAGTGTTTGTTGTTAATGTGCATTTCCATTACAAGTTGATGGAGGGAGTGTTTTTTTTTTTAAAACTTATTAATCTATATGTTAAAAAAAAAATGGAGGAAAGCGAGCAAAAAAGAGAAGAGAATTAAAGCTCCTTTGGAAAGTTGGCTATTTTAGTTATTTTTTAAATTTTTTTAGCTCTTTTTGTCTAGTTAAAAAAGTTGTGTTTAGAAAGTTGATTGGTTTTTGTTTTTTATAATTGATTTGATGGTTGTGACAGAAAAAGTGAAATGATTATAATTTGAATGTAACATTTTGTTTTATTATTTTAGCCTATTTTATTTTTATTGATTATTTTAGCCAAAAAAAAAAATTCCAAACAGGCCTTAGAGTTAATTTTTAATTATTTTATTCTTTATATGCACACACACTAACGTTAACCACACTTGGCACACACTCTAATATATATTTTGAGAAATTACATATCAATTTATTTTTATAAAAATAATTATAAATTAGTGAAAATTTTATTAATATTAATAATTAAAATCATAAAATTTTCAATAATTTTATAATTATTTTTCTAACACTACACTGAGTTGTAATTTTTCCTATATATTTTAGAGAAAAAAAAAATATGCAAGCCCACTTTGTGGACCCATTTTCTAGATCTAGTGCTGTGTCATTAAAATGATTGGTTGGGAATAATGAGAGAGAGTTGACTTAAATATTTTAATAAAGGCCTTGATTGAGAATAAGCTATTTTAGTAATTTTTTAATTTTTTACGAAAAAACATACAAAAAAAAATAGAGAGAGTAATGTGATAACTTATAGTGAGCTTTTGACAAACATATAGTTGCCAACCGAAACCAAAATACCATATTATTTGATCTAAAAGGTGAGTCTAATTTTTAAACCTGAATAACAATACTTTATATTTTAACATCTTTATTAAACCACATATTGACTAACTCATTCACTAAACTCACAAACACTTGGTACAAAATATATATATATATATATAGTTGTTATACTGGCAGAAAGCATGCACTACAACAAAAACACATTTTAGTGACACTATACTAGTGGCATGTTCTCAAAAAATGTCACAAAAAGAATATTTGGTGGCATTTTTTAAAAAAACGTCATAGAGCCACAAACATACAAGTGTCACGCCCAACAATTTATGTGACACAAGGAGCAGCGTGGGCGATATGCTGAAGGCGCTGGAAGGTTCCGGAATGTGGGAGACCAACCTAGAGTATGCTGGAAGACTCTAGAACGTGGTAGAAGGGTCCGGAGTGGCCTGGAAGATTCCGGAATGTGGAAGAACCTTGGAGTGTCCAGAGGTGTCTGGATGGGTCTGGAACATCCTAGATTATCCTGGAAAAGCCTACCATGTACTACACTAGTGTGGAGAGTTCTAGAATGTAGTAGATAGGGTAGTTGTCCTAGACAGTTCTATGGAATGTTCTAGATGAGAGTTTGTAGCCCTTGGATCAAAATGATCTGGGCCGTCCATTGAGGAGGGGGATGGCTATATAAGGGTGAGGGATCTCATTTGCTAGGCACCTAGAGACCTGGAGATCCAAGAGAGCTCTAAAAGTAAAGCACTTTGAGTGTGAGTGTGAGAGCCTTGTAAGCTTTGTACATGACTATACTTGTAAATGTTAACTTGTATAGTGAAGGCATTCTTCCACCTAAACTGTGTGTGTTAGTGTGGTTGACTGGCATTCTTCCACCTAAACTGCGTGTGTTAGTGTGGTTGAGTGGATAAGGCTAACTTAGATGCAACCAAGAGGGTTGAGAGGCATCTAAGGCCGCACGGTAGGCTTGCGAAGTCTAAGTCCGTGACACAAGGCTCTAGTGGCATTTCAATTAAAAAAAGTGTCACTTCACTACAACAAAAATGTCACTACATCAAATTTATACTTTAGTGACACTACACTAGTGGCTTGTTTTTAGAAAATGCCACAAAAATAAAAATTGGCATTAAATGTTTTGGAAAAACGCCACAGAACTACAAACATATAAGGCTCTAGTAGCATTTCAATAAAGAAATGCCACATCAATTTTATGGCATTTTATAAAATAATGACACAAAAAATTATGTTCATGACATTTACCAACAGATGCCATTAAACTTTAGTAGCAATGGCATTTTTTAAAAAATGTCAGGACACTAGGTAGGTGCAAATTACTTTTTATGAAAATAAATGAATTAAACTCAATATACACTACAGGAAAAAGCATATTCGGCGACTAAATTTCCTGACTAAAAAAATTTGGTCACTGAAAGTATAGCTTTCAGCAACCAAAACAGCATTAGTTGCCAAAAGTAAAGCTTTTTGGCGACTAAACAATTTTAGTAGCCAAAAGTCTACAATTGGCGACTAAAAAATAAGTTTTGTCGCCAAAAGTGGTCATTTTTGGCGCGGGAGAACTAAAATCCTAAGGCAGGAATTAAATTTTTTGGCGATCAAAATTTTGGTACCTAAAAGAGTATCTTCAGCGACCAAATCCGATTTTGGTCGACAAAAGTTAAGTTTTTTAGCAACTAAAAAATAATTAGTAGCCAAAAATATAGAATTGGCGACTAAAAAATATTTTTAGTCGCCAAAAGTGGTATTTTTTTATTTTTCTAGTAAATTGTTTATTTTACATAAATTATGTTCAATAAAATAATTATGTTTATACATATACTTTTGTATTAATATGGATGTATGCATTATATAAATAATATATGTTGCATATATAATCATGTGGTGCTATAGAGATGTAGTGGGAAGAGTGTGGTGTATAAGGTTTATGGTGCGGGAGGTTGGCGGTTCGAGTCTCCGCAAGAGTGGATCAAATTGTTCTACAACGAATTATCGTCACGAATGGCACTTGATAGCGTCACAAATAATGTCACTAACTCTTTTTTTAATGGCGCTTGATAGTGCCACAAATGATATCTACCATGACTGGCGCTTGATAGTGCCACAAATGATATCTACCATGACATCAAAATGTCATTGAAAGTTTTTAGCCATGATGGTGTAGTGGCACTTGCAAGTATCTACCATGACACTAGTATCTATCGTGGCATGGATACAAATGGCACTTGTTCAAAATGTCACAAGACTAAAAAATGTCATTAAACCAATAGTTTTGTGACACTTTCAAATGTCACTAAACTAAGAAAATGTTGTAGTAATGGAGATTATTAATATTTAAACATACCCTCTCATAGATTACGGTATGCATATCATATCATCAAAGATACTAACCAATAATCAGTCTAGTAACACTCATACAATTTAATATCCATCTCCAGCCGAAAATAATCAGCACCCTCAAAAGTATCGGTCCGAAACGTTGCAATCCCTCTAGCCATGAAGAAATCACCAGTCTCTCCCACCACCAAAAGATCCCTAGTCTCCTCACCCATTATATCTGCACCCATAATGTTAATAGTACCATTATATTTTGTGGAATTGAATACCAAAGTGTATGCAAACCAAGCATTGTAAGTTGTCTTCATGTCGTAGAAATAGAACCCTTGTGCTCGCGCCACTGGGGATGAAACAAAGTCGTTGTCGACTGTCATGGGATCATCGAACACAACCAACATGCCAAAGTTGAAGTTACCAAGTTTGGTTGCGTTGGCGACAGTGGCAGCTGTGGCATTGGACACGTTCGTGCCATTGAACATGGTGTCGTGGTAGAAGAGCTTGAGGCGGTTGCAGGGTTCGTTTTGGTTGAGTTTTTTTGAGTGACCCAGAAAAATGGATGATGTGAGGAGGAGGACGAAGAAAAGCATGCAGCAAGATTTTCCCATGAGGGTTGTCATGGCTATTATGTTTGGTTGGGAATAATGGTTTTTGCCTAAGACCAATCATTCTTATTTATTGCCACTTTTTACAGTTTGTTCTGTCAGTAAGTTCTTGGGGTTTCGGCTAGGGAATATACCCCTTTAGATTGGAAGGGATTGGCTCCATGTCTAATCCATTGTAGAGTTTATTGTTTGGTTGAGAATTTATAGATATCCGTCTATAAATTTCATATATATTGAAATATTGTGTCATTGGAGATATGGGATAAAAATGGTGAGATTGGGATTAAGTTGGAACGTCCTCCAAGTATTTGATTTCATTATGTATTATATTTAGTAAAATAAAATAAAATATAAAAATCTCAAGTAAAAAAAAAAAAAAAAAAAAAAATTTTATTTTTTTTTGTGGTTTTTTGGAGATATGGGATAAAAATGGTGAGATTGGAAAATGACAAAATCGTCCTCCAAGTATTTGATTTCATTATGTATTATATTTAGTAAAATAAAATAAAATATAAAAATCTCAAGTAAAAAAAACAAAATAAAATAATTTAATTTTTATTGATGTTTATTGATTAAATTTTTAAAATAAATTTTCATAGATGTTTTATTTATGTATTCTTTTAAAATTTTGTTGATATTTTATTTCATTTCATTATTTAATTTTTATTGATTTTTTTATTTAATTTCATTATTTAATATTTAATATTTATTAAAAATAAATTTTTTTAAAAATTTATTCTGAAAATAATATAAATTTTTATTGATGTTTTATTTATTTCATTCAAAATCAAAGAGATAAAATTATATAGCTTGAGTGACAACCCCCTAAAGGGTCCATTGTAGGATTTATCCAACTAAAATAAATTTATTTAATTTTTTAAAAATAAAATAAAATAAATTTTTATTTAACTTAGCCAAAAAAATATATTAAAATAATAAAGGCTGATTAGTATTGCTATTACTTACTAAACAATTGAAAAAGGTAAAATTGTCCGTTGAGCATTTATCATTCTTTATAATATTCCAATCAAACATTGGATTCAATAAAATAGTCGTTTTTAGATATCTAATTTCATGTGAAAACAAATATGGGATGCACATCATTTCTAACCAAATAATCAAGAGACTATATATCCTAAGATTAATAGTTCGATAGATTACAATCTCTCATATGTAGTCCGTCCAAACAAACATGACCTTTGGGTGTCATGGTCATACATGTTCGAGTAGGGTAGATTCTAACCTATGTTACATCTATTTTTAAAAATAAATTAAATATTTATGTCGGATGCTCATATTTGGATAAGGATTTTTTAAAATAAATTAAATATTCGTCGGATGCTCATATTTGGATAAGGGTGTGAGATATATGTTTGATATTTTTCATTAGGCACTTCTTATATATTTGTATTTAATACTTTTTATATGTATCATTTGTTATGTAATTGCTATAAAACACCTTTGATATTGCATGTTAATTTCATAGGAGCAATTTGGGAACGTGATAAAAAGTCAGCTTTTTGGCTTTTTACCAAGTTCTCCCAAAAAAGTCACAAAAAAAGTAAAAAAATCAGTTTTTTATTAACTTTCCGAAACACTTACCATTTTATCTCTCATAATTAAGAATATAAAAATATGACTCTTTTTTGCCTAGTCCGCGTACTCTTAAATTTGAAATTTGATGAGTGAGATCTCTAGATATGCACCCGCACTAGAGACACTCATATCCGAGTCTATGTAACATAGATTCTAACCACTCAATCGGCATATCCTAAATTATTGAACAACTATTATATCTTGTAATTTTTTTTTATTATTATTATAGTGAAATTCACAATAGCAGTGAACGTAATCTTAGTTTTGGGATGAATTGTGTAAATCTTTGTGTTATTTGTATGCGTGTTTGATTTATCGATTTTTGTTATTATTTTTATTTGTGTTTCATGTCTTACTGATTCTAATTAGGTATATTAATTCTTAACAATATCTTTATAATTGATTAATTTATAATTTTTATGTATTCACCCAATTTTTTTTTATTTTTTTTTATTTTTTAATGAGATTCATACTACCAATGGTGGAGTCATAAAATTAAATTAGAGGGGGCACTTATTAATTATAATATTGAAAATTTTTACAAAAATATTTCAAATATTTTTTTATAATTGACTTCAAGAAAGATAAAAAACTTAATGTTATTTGTAACCAGTGTATCATGGACAATACAAAAATAGTTATAGATATAAGTCTCAAAATAATTTATATAATAACAAAGTAATTTTTTTTTTAATCCAAAATTTGAATAAAAATTTAATATAATGGTAATGCCACGTCATCATTAACATGTGATATCACAAACCAATAATAAAGAAACACATAAAGGATGAACCCCCATAACAATCCAATAGATTCTATATATTCATAGTGAGATTAATTATATTTGCATGTCAATAATGATAGGCATCACCGTTACCTTGAATTTTTTTTTAAAAAAATTTCATAGATATATAATAATATAATTTATTATAGTCTATTCATTTTCAATCAAAACCATTATAATTGTTCTCATAATTTTAAAAATGTCATTGACATTTCACTCTAAATAATATTTTTTGTAAATTTTTTTATTTAAAATATTTTGTTTATATTTGCAAAAAATAGAAAAAAAAAATCAAAAACCAGGGAGGGAACGTGACCATCTTGGTCCCTCTATACCTCAATCCCTGGAAACTATCATGTGATGAGAAATTATGACGTCATTTGCGAATTGATTATTTTAATTATTTTTTAATTTTTTTTATAAAAAAACATACAAAAAAAATTAAAAAGAAAATTTAACTTTTTTGTTCATTACTTTTTTGTTACGGTCCATTCCTTCCATTTGGTTTTATTGGCATGGAATATTATTGAATCAGTCATCATTGCATTTAACATTTATTCATTTTCATTCGTTTACATGCAATGTTATCGGTTAAAACGAAAAGTTTACATTGTTTTAGAGCAACTCAAATGTTGAACCGTGAAAATGACATGCCAAAATAAAAAATTTACGTGTCACAATATTTAAAAATATTCAAATTTAACAACATCATTTCAATAGGAGAAATATTATTAGAAATGATAGAGACCCATTTTTTTTGACCTCCACAGATACATATGAGTGAGTAATAGGAGGAAAAAAACAAACAAAAAACAAAAAGTAAAAAATTGACTAATTCCAATACATTAGGGGTGGTGGGCGTATAACAAAAAGGTAGTCTCAACCTTTTTCCAAATATTATTTCACCTAATTTCTTTTAAAAAAAAAAGAAAAATACATATAACGTTTGTGGCTCTCATTAAGAGAAACATAAATGAGAACCTAATCAAAATTAGAGAATACATGATACAAGATATGACGCTGCAAAATTTTAAATAACTATAATATTATAAATTCAGAAATTTTATCTAGAAATTATATGAAAATAACAATATATGGTTTAGATTCATTCTGTATAAAGATCTCACAATATATATATATATATATAGAGAGAGAGAGAGAGGGACTATAACTTTATATATTTCAATGAATAAATATGAGTAAATACAAGACTCTTTTATATAGGAGAAGGAGAAGCTAAGTATTGTAAAACACAACATAGTTTTAATATAACAGAAAATACTTAAAAGTTCAAAAAAAAAAACATACGAAGATAGAAAAGGAAAGAAGATATCATGGAATGAAAAAAAATAATAATAACCAAATCAGGAATAATGAAATCATCAAACAGTTCAGGCAAGGAGATTTGCTAACACAAGCAAAACAGAACTTCTCAGTTCACTGCAAAGCGAGGATCATGGCTAGGCGCAAATGGGTAGCTTTTAACGGGGATCGGGTTTCCCCGACCTCGTAAATTCCCCGACCAAAAAAAAAAATCAATTTCATCTCATCATCATCAACATCAACAAAAAAAAAAAAAATTAAGTGTTCGGAAAATTTTAAATAAAAAAATTATATGTACATATATTACGTATTACGTTTAAAATCAAAACAAAATTTAGAACCAGAAAATTTCATCCCAACTGTTGCTCATCATCATCATCATAGATCTGTAGAACATTTAAAATCAGAACAAAAAAAATTATGTTTCAACATTAAAAAATTTGTTTCATCAACAATCATCCTAACATCAACATCAACAAAAACTAGCTTGTATATATATTACGTTGATTGGAGAGGAGAGCCGAGCAACAGTTGCGGCTTGAGAACAAACACGAAGAAGCCATGGCTAAGAGTTCGCGGCAGCAGCAAACACAAAGAAGCCATCACGGTGGTGCGATCATCGCGGTGCTCAGATCTGGGGTAGAGTCGCTGTTCAGATCTGGGGAGGCGAAACTCTTCCAACCAGCAGCGGCGAGGGAGGGACGGAGGATCGGCGCCGTCAAACTAGGGAGGATTGGAGCGAGGGAGGGAGGGAGGATCGGCGAAGGAGAGGAGGCGAAACCCTAGAGAGAGAGAGAGAGAGAAGAAAGAGCGGCTGTGTGCGTTGTGTGTGAGTGTGGACAGCCAAAACCTTACACACACACATGCATATGTTATATATAAGCAGGGGCAAAGTAGTAAATTCACATCGGGGCAATCGGGCCGAGGATCGGGGCCGGGGTCGGGCCGGGTCCAGGACTGAAACATGTATCCCCGTCCCCGGCCCGAATATCATCGGGGATTCAATTTTTAATACCATCCCCGGCCCATCAGGGGTATTTTTCGGGGAATAACCACTTAATTCGGGGTCGGGGGATCGGGGGGATCGGGTCCCCGTCGAGCCGGATTTCGATTGCCATCTCTAGACGTGTAGGGTGGCTGGGCGTGCAGGAGTCCGGATCGTCTGCCGTGGTTTCCTGCCACGACTCCTGCGATGGTCCAAAACGACGTCGTTTTGGAAACCCCCCATTTTTTTTTCTCTCTATCTCTCTCAAACGTTTGAGAACCAAGCCTAACAAAAGTATTTTCTGTTACAAGATCCTCGAAATGTTGGGTTATGTTTGGATTCAGCTTCAGTTTCACTTGCAGGGTCACAAATTGTCGCAAAATTGAATGTGAATTCACATCCAGAAGGTGGATTTTACTCATAATACTTCAGAAATTCTTCCATCATTC